GGGTTAGCCACCTCGGGATACCCATGGAGTGAAGTGTTCGAGTGCCCAGCGGACAGATGAGTTAGCCAATTAGGGACAGACGAAGGGACAGCTTTGCACTTTGCAATAACACCTAGCTAGCGGGTCACGGGGTTTCTGTGCCTTTGGGCTAACACGTCTTCTGATACTAACAAATAAAGATTATCTTTTAGAATCTAACATTTCATAGGGGGGACTGATGTAGAATTATTAAAATCTTTATTAGAACCTGTATTGAATTATTGTACTAACTCCATTTTGTTCACCTTACATGACAGAATTTCCTGACAGTATTCAGTATAATGAATAAGAGATTGTATTTTCTCTCTCTAAGGACATAACTAGCCCCGGAGTTAGCGGATCTCCGTTGACTTGCAACATAGTATAATCCAAGGCCAGGAGAACAGTGACAAAATGAAATGTTCTATTCATAAAAGAACCTTGGAACAGACCACGAGACTGACATCACTAACTACGTAAAATGACGCCCAAGCCCCCCTTTCCACCGAGTAAGCCTCGTGCTAAAGAGCAATGGCGACGACATCCCATGATGGGAGGGTGCCTCACTAGTCACTCAAATCTCTGAGCCAATTAATAATATTAATGGGTGGACACTGACATAGCCACTTAACATTTAACCCAATTAATGATGTTTATTTGTTATTATCTGATATTCAATGATGATGTCATTTTGCATATAAAAAGGCCTGCGTGCCCGCTTTTTAACTAGATGCTAATAAATTTCCTGAAGTGTTTTTAACCTGAACTGCATGTGTCAGTGTGAACTTACTTCTGCGTATACGCAATTTATTCATCTCAGATTTGGACAGGAACAGATAGACTTTTAAACATTTTTGTTTATTTCTAAATTAATCTTGTTCAATCGTTTCTTGAAGCGTATCCTTAATGAGGCATATGGCATAAGAAAAATGGGAGACAAGAACTCCAATGATTTATCGCTTTTTTGTGTCTTATAGCAGTGGCAATCAGGATACTTATATATTCTTGAGCTTTATACTTTGCTCAGATATTAAAGGCACGGGGTACTTATAATCTCCACCCGTGGGATTCTAGATACAATCATTACGAACGTCAGGATCCATGAAGAAACAAAACACTTTATTAATTTAATGATAAATAAAATAATCAAATGAGGTGTAAAAAACTAATATAAATATACATGTCAAGTACGAAGTATACTTTTATACTTTTATGACCCCAGATTGATTTAAAGTACTGGTTTTGTAAATAGGACAGGTCAGTTTTAATATGAGTTAAGCAAACATAAATGCAATAAAAAAGTAACACATCCTTCAACCAATTATTTATAGGAGTATTTAATATTTAATGCAGATTATAATAATGAAACAATATGTATATTTACTAGAGTATCTAAAATACGGAAAAGATTCATTTATCTGTTCACGTTTAGTTAGATATTTTTTGGCATCCGATTAGCAAAAATGAAGCCAAAAAAAAAAACTTTGCTGGGAAACTATTTTAGTTGAGAGAACAGAATAAACTCATTGCACTTTTTTGAGGGTTACTTTCAAGGTTCTTTTTTTGTCTATAATTAGTTGGGATATTTCCACTGATGGCCAAAGCAGTATTTTACCAAACTGGTTCTAAAGTAAAGCATTACACGTACAGTAGATACAGGAATTTTTGTCCCAATGCAGTGTTGTATCACATAAAAATTTTTTTTTAAACTTCTTTTTGGTAGAGTCGCATTTATTCCCTAAATAGCAAAGTGTTATACTAAATACAGAGAAGTTGCTAGAGGGTGTAGCTAACATGTCCCAAAGCTCCAAGTCCAATTTTGGCACCATTGAATTGTTAGCCCGAAGTCCCTTGTAATATGAAACAGAAACAACACATCCTCTGCTACATAATTTCTGACAGTGTCACTGTAATGCACCAAATTTGGAGTTAATTAATCAGCACAGTTTGGGGATGTTGCTGTGGGTGCAGGGTTTGAATCCAATGTGTTAATACAACATATGAATAGATTAATATAGGTTTATGTAATATTCTGAAATAAATCAAAAGTCAATTTGACTTATAGAACACATTACATTTTAGGATTGTACTTAGGGCACAGTTTAGGACTGATATTAGGAGGGTACCAAGTCAGTGTATGCAGGAGTGTCCATAAAACGTACCCTCAGGCTTCAAGCTTCTGTCTGTTTGGCTACCTAGCAATGCCTGCGATTAAACACAAAATGACTTGTGACACGTAAACGAACCTAACTGAGATTGGCATATTTCTCCAACTCAGGTCTATTTACTAAACAGGCAGATATATTCTCTGATGTGTGAATTGTGGGGAATCAAAAGTAAAATTAAAGTGAATTCAGAGTGGATGTCAATTTGTAGGTCAAAGTAGCCAAGCTGAAAACATAGCTAGGAATTTCACAATTGAATGAATAACCCTTGAATTAGTTATGGTGAAAAAAAAATAAAAAAATTTGCAAAATAGATGTAAAAAAATAGATGAATAGGAAAATACAATAAGCTTACAATCCAACCACCAAAAAAACAAAAACAACACCAATACCACAATTAACTTCTAATCTACCTACATAGGCTATTTTTTAACTTCTGATTTTAGAGAATTCTAGACAGTTTTGCTAGAACCATGTATAGATGGAAATGAATTCTCTATCATTTAAGAGTAATTTGTATTTGTCATGACAGGTACCTCTTAAAGCACCATATAACCATTAAAATGAACTTTAGAGGATATAGCCCTCCGTGTGTCCCATTAGATCACCCCCCAACTCTCCCTGTGTCCCATTAGTTTACCTCACCCCAGCTCTCCCTTTCTACCATTAGTTCCCCCCAGCTCTCCCTGTGTCCCATTAGTTTCCCCCTCAACTCTCCCTGTGTCCCAATAGTTCCCCCCCAGCTCTCCCTGTGTCCTATTAGTTCCCCCCAGCTCTCCATGTGTCCCATTAGTCCCCCCCCCAGCACTCCATGTGTCCCATTAGTCCCCCTCCTGCTTACTGTACCCGGTCTGACAGGAAGCAGTTCTGTGCTCTCTGTGAGCATTTCCTTTCAGACCAGATAGGGTACAGGAGCTCCTCTTCCACAGTCTGCCTGCTCGGCCATGCTACATTCTGTGACCGACAGGAGGGGAGCGGATGCCGATCACCCTGTAATTGCACTGTGTGGCCCGCGGGCCGTTGCGCACTAGGCGGCCATGCACCGGCCCGCTAGTATGCCGGCCCACTGGGAAATTTCCTGGTATCCCGGTGGGCTAGTCTGGCCCTTCAAGCTAAGAAAGGCAGAAAATATGTGTATGTGGTATTTCCACCAGGAGATCCAAGTAGTAAGATTTGTCATGCAGCTATAGTTATTGTGGAGAGTGACAAGTCAAATTTTTTGCCAAACTGCTCAAAAATAGTTTGACAGGGAGTCTATAGCACTAAAGTAACGGATATATTTTAATCTGTACCTAGAGGCATTTTCAAGGCTTACTACTTTAACTTCTACATTTTGATTTCCTTTCTGCATTACATTTAGAAATTCTATTTAAAGAAAGTGTATCCTGTAGTCACCGTAATCATTTTGACAAATGGTTACACCAGTTTTCCCAGTACTGTCGGGGTAGAAGGAAAAAATCCACGGAGAAACAAAGGTTTCATGTAAACATTAACTGTTTAAGGAGCAGTGTCAATCAACGATACAATAGAGTAGTCTTTAAATAGATTAGCAGGAGTGAAGTTGTCTCAAAATATCCTTTGTGTTCAAATGATTAAAAATAGAGCCTTCACTTAGAGTAATGGGGGGAACTGCTAAACTGGGGCATGATCAGGGAAGACCCTTTGAATGGTCACAAAATAGCAACAGCAGAGTAGTTGCCAGTTTCACTTGTTGAGCTACATTTCATCATTTATACTTAAGTACAAATGCCACTAACTTGCCACTTATTTAAACCCCATAACTAGGGTTTATGGTTTTTCATACCAGGACATAATAAACCTTCCAAACAAGCCATACTTGTTCAGTCTTTTGCTAATTGTGCAGTCATGAAATTTAACATGCTAACTGAGGTCTGTAGAGCCTGAGGTGTAACTTTTGTTCTTTTTTGCAATTACTCTGAGCATTGCATCTACCTTCGGGTAAATTTGCTGGGACAGCCACTCCTAGGAAGATTGACAATTGTCTTGATGGTTTTCCACATTTGAATAATCTTTCTCACTGTAGAATGAAGGACTTAATTTTTTAGGGGAAATTGCCTTATAATCCCTTCCCATTTCCTTCAAAGTTTGATGGGCAGCAACAATTGCTTCTCTAATATAATTGATGATGTCTTTCCTACTTGGCATTGTTTTAACACACACCTGAATGCTCCAGACAAGCAAACTGCTAAAACGTCAGCTTTTGTAAAGGATCAATAAATAACACCTGGCTGCTACTTAGTGTTATAATTTTTATGGAAGTAGTAAGGTTGTTGTAGATAGTTTTTCACACTTTGTACTTAGCTTTTCTCCATCTTGGCTTTATTTTTGTTATATAACTTATGGCACGGTGTAATATGTCATAAGTTGTTGTTCATCTAAGGTTGTATTTACTTAATTTTAAGACCTGCTAAAGAACATATGATTGTTATTTTGGCCTGATATGTAAAAACATTGAATTCAAAGAGGGTGTACTTTCTTTTCCCCATGACTAGGGCGCTATATAAATAACATAATTATATATATATATATATATATATATATATATTGTACTCAGGCCCAGAATGGCCATCGGGCACACGCGATGGCCATGGACCGAGGATGGCAGAGGAGGTCACAGGATCTCCCCGACTGGTCCATACAGGGCCCGCGCTGAGTGCCAGCCCTGCTGTATTTCATAACGGGCGGGCGGGGAGTCCAAAGATCTCCCTCACCGGCCCACAGGCAGTGAGATGCAGCCATCAAACATCCCTCCAAACATGCACAGCATTCGCTCACACACACACAAACACACACACACATCACCCTAACACACACATTACACTCATACACACACATCACCCTCACACACACAAACACACACACAGCACCCTCACAAACAGTGCACCACTCCTCTCACACACACACTGCACCCCTCAAACACACAAACACACACACTGCATCCCTCACACACACACACACACACACTGCACCCCTCACACGCTATACTCCTCACAAATACACACTACACCCTTCACACACATACTGCACACCTCACACACACACACACACACACAGCAGCACCCCAACACACTGCACCACATACACACAAACAATACTTCCAAAAATATATGCATATATACACTACAGAACCCCTCACACACATACTGCACCCATAAACACATTACATTCCAGACACACACTAGATCCCTTACCCAACTCTGGATCATCTACTCATAGACACACACTAGATCCCTATATACACTCTGAATCATCTACTCACACACACTCACTAGATCTCCTATACACACTCTGGGTCCTTCAAACACAATAGATCCCCCCACCCCCCTCCCCCACACACACACACACACTGCACCACCTATACACACACTACTTTTCTGACATACACTATCTGGATCCCCTATGCACACACTAGATTCCTTGTAAGCAAACACATACTACATTCCCTAAACACACACTCTATACAACACCTACACACATACACACACACTACAGCCTGTATGCACACACTCGCTACATCCCCTATACACACACTAGACCCTAGACACACATACATTACATTGCACCACAAACACAACATGACTGAAACCAACCTATTAACACAAAACCACACCACAATCAGATTACTCTACACACACGCAATCCCTTAAGCAGGCTCCTAAACACATGCACAATACTCTTACCAGGCATTTTTGTCTCCTGGTATCCCATTTATGGAGACCAGAGACAAGTTTCAAGCAAACACAACGCAAGCATGTTATTAAATTTGCTTGCGCTGTGCAGAGCAAATACAGGGCTTTTTTCTCATGCTAGAGCTCTTCAGCAGAGATCACTTGGTGATCATCACTTTGAGATGGGGCGTACTTGTCATTGGGGATGACAAAACACATACTATCTGGCCCCTGTGGGCCACTGTGTTTAAAAAATGCCCAGGCCAAAATGTTTTCCCAGTCCGGCCGTGATTGTACCTGATAAAACCAATATGATAATTTGGTTGGTGTAGAGAGCACTCAAATCCATTTAGTTTTAACCATTTTCTAAGTTACGATGATGTTTTCTGAACTTTTGAGCTCCTGGACTTTGGAGAGCTGTATCGTTTGTGCAAGAAGATGTTTGTAAAGATAGACTATCATCATTGAAAACATAACTCAGTGGTTAGGAGAAGAAGGGCACATAGCTATGCGGGTTTGTGATTGTGAGATTATAACTCTTAGATGTAAGGATGTATTGCAGAGAAGAGCATTTGATAAGGGCGACATCACAGGAAACCCACAGGGGATGAAATGTTTAGTGAAGGTGTTTAAATAATTAATATCGTATAATGAACTTATATCAAGAGAATGGTTTAAGTTCTTGTTTGTGAGGGTTTGTGGACGTGATGAAAAACTACCTTAAATTATAATTTCTATGTAACCATGTATCTATATATTTCCAAGGGAAACAATTTTGTATTGAATTCTTCCCATTGATCACAGGTTTAATTTGCCATATTAAGATCAATAAATACATGTTTCTAAACCTGCTATTCTGTTCTGACTTTGTGGCTTACCTGAAGTGTTTCCTGTAATTATAATTGTCAAGGTTATTCCCTAATGTCTGAATGACCCTGTATCAAATCAGTTAAAAGTATTTTCTGCCATACGGGCCCATTCGTAATGCAAAATCTGGACATAGTTTACAGTATGTAACAATTTCTGGATTTTGCTGAGCAGACATTCGATTGTAATTTTTTTTAAAAAAGGTTACGAAAAACTAAAGGTGGTTGATATGACCCCCATATTTGTATAAGGTGACATGTTACGTAAAGAGTTAGCTATTGCTGCCCTGTTGCTAGAAAGTACCCAAACCATAGAATGTAAAATATGGTTTGGAGATCTGTCATTGGTTCCCTCCATGTATCTCTTTATTGCACATTGGGCGGGCTGTTAAAACTCAATAACAAGGGGGGTAGGGGGATAGACCAGTCTCTGTTCACCTGCCTGCCCTGACCAATGGCTAGTGTGCAGGGGCTCTATAAAAAAAAATGGTGAATATTAAAATCCAACCTGCCCCCACCTATGGGCAACAGGTGGTGGTTCATATTTAATAACTTGGGGGGGACAAACCACTGTCTACCCCATCCCACACCCATGATGGAGGGTGGGGGCTCTAAAATTTACCTGGGGGACACTAAACTGTCCCTCCAAACCTCACACATGAGTGGCAGGCTCTTAAAAAGATAGAGAAGGGGGGGGGGGGATTCCTTTGTGTGTGTCCCACCTCCATGTATTGGCTTTGAGTGGGAGGTAGAAAGAAAATTGGGGCTGGACATGATATTATCAACCCCCCACCCAAGGGCTGGGAGGAGAGGGTATTAAGGGGGTAGATATGTTATAGTCCACACAACCAAATGTTTGGGCCAATCCTCACCTCTTGCCTCTACGTAGCTATGGGTTTCTTTAGTCACACCCTGAATAAAATAAATCCCTACCTACCCCATCACCTTAATAATAATAATAATGAGATGGGGGCCAATAAATCTATTACCTGTAATAAAAAAAGTAATACTTGCATCTTCATTTCTTAAGCCTCAAAAAAGACAAAACGACAGACCATTATTTCCCAACACAATGATTATAAATGAAAAAAACGCCTGAAACTGAAAAAATTGATGTATAGTTTTTTTATGACAACAATAAGTGGAACATGTGTATGTTTTTCCATCTGGTTTATTTATATTTGTAACAAATTGTGTCCCAAAAGACTATATTTCCTCTCACTCTCTCCTGTTACACCTTTCCTCACGAAAAGCCACTCCACCAAACGCTGTTTCAGCCCATCTCAGCCAATCAGAAAGCTTATCCGACCAGCGGGAGATATGGACAATCTCTCTGGAACTCCAGTGCAGCCATGAATAAGCACCGGTCACTTTTTACCCTTGTTTAACCCCTTTCCCAAAGAGCTAGAAAGGCTCTCTTTGGAGGTTAAGTTAACCCCATCCTCCTGAATAATCGCTCCCTGTGAACTGGAGGGAGCCCCCCCTTTTCAGCCCACTGGGACCTCCGGTTAAAGACAGCGACCTAGCCCTAATCACCTGGAACTATTTTCAGGAAGAACTTTAACAGTGGTCGGTCTAAAAGTTAATTGAGGTGCTCTGATCCCCTCTTTCAGGGGATATATGACTTATGGGGATACCATGTTGTTTTCGGGGTATTTGTGTGTAACATCTTCTGTATCCAGGAGATAATTAGTTTACCGGTTATCAGCTCAATTACCTACCAGACACAGAGATGCCTGGGCGGGCTTAGGACTGAGAGAATAGACACCCCATGCTGGGGGTCCTTGTATAAATACCTGAACCTTCTTCCTGAATAAACCATACTGATTTACCCTTCATCAAGTCTTGGCTGATATGTGGGGATACTAGAGCTATATCACACTTTCACTCTGCGGGACTAGGAAGACTCTTCAGCGGATATACTCAGCCTGAGTATAGGGGATCTGTTACAATATTATTAAATATTTAAATGCCCCTAGGATTTCATACGATCATATTAATGGATAGAACCAATTTTGTAAAAATGTTTTTGAGATTGTTGGTTTCACATAGTTCCTGAAAGCATGTCAATTTAAAAAAAACGGTTTATAAAATCGACAGATTCTGTGATATCACTAAAGAATTATTCTTCAATAAAAAAAAATGATTAGTATTTGATTATGGTGCATAAAAGAAAAAAAAAGTGACCTGGCTAAAATGGAAATTTCTCTGTGATGGAAGGGACTTGTTTTGCAAATTGCTGCTGTTTAATCTCATATAGTTTTCTGGAATGTTCCTTTAAGCATATTCAAAATATCTTTGGATTTCTTAAGAGAGCACTCCTGCCCAAATACTTTAATGCAAAATAAGAGCAGTCTTAAAATAACGTATGGATGGGAAATGCTTGAGGGCTACTGACTCTAATTACACATGCCTTCAGTTACTAGTAAAAATAATTTTCAGCTTTAACCACAAAACTAGTTATTTTTGTATATGGAAAACTAGTATGACATTTATTATTAATATCGCTTTTCTTTATTGTCGATTATTTAAACATTGACAAAGATAAATATATATATATATATATATATATATATATATATATTATATACTATTATATGTAGAAATTTGGTCAAATATGTTAGTAGATTCGTAATAAACTTGTATAAAAAATATTAGCAACGTTTTAGAGCAACTACATAGATACATACATAAATACGATAAAGACTGCCGTGTCCGGAGCCTGGCCCCACCCATGGGGGAGTAGATATCATAGAGTTTTGTGTCACTAGGGTAAATTTTCTTTATTTTTATATATAAACCAAGGGTTCCATAAGTCTCGTTGTGATGTAAATTTACCAGATGAAACTATAAAATTAGTTTACATTATGTATTGGTAACCCAGTTGGTTTATTATCTCTTGCTATACTGGAGGTTGACATGTTTACCAATTACCAGCTATAGATATCTAAAACGCATATATAATTTGCATAATTAGTTTTTTGTGTGTTTTTTTTTTTTTCATTATGGGAAAATCTAAGTTAAATAGTAAAAGGTGAGATGTAATAGTTATGGTATCTGGAACTAGATCTGTGTTCAATGAGTATAAACATTCTTTGATATCTTTTAGTAAAACGCAACCATACCATACATGGAGCATAGTTCCATTTTCCTTTTTACATCTCCAATATAAAGGTGAGTATGCTTCATATATTTTATGTTTCTTAGTAGGGACTAAATACCATCTGTATATAATTTGTTAGGTGCAATTCTAATAAAGATATACAGTGGATATAGTAGTTTGGTACCATTCAGAAGGAGTGTAGGAGATATTAAGATCTTTTCCCCATTTAACAATAGAAGTAATTTTTTGAACGTTTGCCTCTCTTTCTAAAAGTTTAGTAGATCTAGTAATTAAGCCCTTAAATAATATTTTTTATAGACAGCCATAAATAGAATGTTCGAATATTATGTTTTTTGTATTCAAATAATGCTTG